AATTAAAGGTCTCCAAATTCAATCATTTTTTCGTTTAACTTTCAATAACAGAAGTCAAAGCTTCAAATAAACACGAATGCTCTTTACATCTGTGATCGTGTGTTTAATATCGGTTGATAACACGATATTTTGAGAGTGGTAGTAGTTTTCGTGCTCACATTTTGAGGTGAAGGAGCCATCGAGGGCCCCAAATCTCACCGAACGCGAGAAGGACACTCTACTCGCTACATCGCTGAAGACAAAACATCATCAATATAAGTATGCAGGTAAGATGACTACTAAAATCAAGTCAAGCCTGAGACCGATGAAGTTCAAAACAGTGACGAACTCGCCACGGAAGCTGCAAAAATGCCCGGAAATCATCGAATAGAAGTCGTCGAGACGTCAGGTCACGAGACCTTGCATCGACGGTACTCGTTGCTATCAGCAAGGTGACAGAACTGCACTGTACCGTCGTTGAACGTCCGCTGCAGCCTCAAACGGACTTCAGTTTCACACTGTCGAGTTCAGAAAAAAAACTCCCACTAGTACATCACATCGTGCCGATAAGAACGGTCGTCTCTTCGCATCGCCTGCCCCAGCCTGCCCCGATACAGCAATGAACGAATCTAGCATAGTAGTCGTTACGATTTGTCGTCGCCACGAATGAAAGATATAAAGCAAAATATTCCTAAAAAATCGCGATCACCGAAAAAGTTACGGTTATGGAACGATACAGTTTTCTGAAGCCAAGATTCTACTCGCGAGATTAGAAAAATTTTTGAAGATTGTCTCAAAACTCAGAAAACGAAAGAAATTGAATTTTCGTTGTTTTATTACTTAAAAGCGGAGCAATCTAATGCGAACGGCAGAGGTGTCGACAATCAGCTGATCGCCGAGATCATGTACTGCCACTATTTAACGCGCTGATCGAATTGAAGGATACGCGCTGCAAGTTTAAATAAACAAGGTGGTAAAAAACAATACGTTACGGTTATGCGAAAATTAGTAAGTAGATACGAATAAGCTCGTTGACAGAAGAACCAACGGGAAGACAGACGTGAGCCCCGTGAGCCCAGACCCACAGCTCCGTACATATCTCGGTTAGGGCTAACACAAGCTGAGAGTGGAGAGCCGACTTGAAAACAGGGGTCGATAAACACTTCACGCGACAATATTTTCCATCCTTGTCACAATCGAAGGTCATTCTGTCGAAACTTTCACGCTGATGTAGCCTAAAACACTTTGGACAACCAATTTCGTCTACCGCGTCGACCGCGACAAACCAGCCGCCATGTTTTAAATCCAGGATTAAGAAACAACCAAAAGCAAAGCGCTCAATGTTGAGCGCTTAAGTTAAGCGTAGTTTAGTGCTAGGTTTAGCGATAAGCGATTTTGGTGCAACCGAACGAAACCGAAACTTAGCTTAGGTTCCCGGCTAAGCTCCGCTTTGCGCTAAGCGGCGTTGGTGCAACCGGCCGTTAGCGGTGAAAAATACACTCAAGCTCAGCGTCTTGGCCTGTTGGACCTTTTTCGCCAAGCTGGTAATTTCCAGGTCTTGACACAATTCCTTTTCTGCTCCTTTGATCTTCGAATACATTTTAGCGCTCAATAACAAGGACAAAAGGTGGGAATCAGACAACAGAGTGCGTTACTAACAACTGATTTTATTACATGAAACGACACTTATATACCATCTGAGTCTCTGATATCGCCGATCACTAGCCAACCCGATGCCAGGCCGCGTCATTGAGGAACGCACGTTCTTTCTCAAGTAAATCAATTGAGGCCACGCTGACACATTCTGCCCCGTCCTTCTTAACCTCATCCGCCTCGACTATCTCCCTCACAGTTTTTTCCTTGTGCGTCGCCAAAATATTGCGCTCGCATACAACGGCGCACACTTGCAGCTTTGACAATGATCAGATAGATGACCGTCCCGATAATTTCTTACCTTAAGTTTGTGTTCCCTTATCCTATCATTAACAGACCTACCGGTCTCACCTATATGCTTGTTTCCGCATGATAAGGGGATCTGATACACTACTTCCTCCGCACGTTCAACGAAGGGTTCCCTGTGCTTCACCGCACACCCAGAAGGAACCTTACGAAAAGTATCTGTCATCCTACATAATCTGCTAAGTTTGTTTGGTGCGGAAAACACTACTTTTACGTTCGATCTATTGGCCACTTTTTTCAGGCCATGCCCCATTTTGTGTATGTACTGTATCACCGCGCCTTTTGTTTACCTGTGAGAACCGTTCGACGGGGGCAATCTTCACTACGCTCTTTTTAATACGATCTCTGCAGCTGACAGCACTACATTCTTCGGGAAGCCAGCTGCCAACAACCGCCTATACTGCGTGCCCAGGCCTTCTGACATCACATGGTGGCATGATTTTTTGAGGGCGTTCAATACGAACATATTGGCAATACTCCTTTTTACGAGTTTCGAATGAGCTGAATTGAACAGCTGCAGAACCCATGAATTCTGCGTTCGAGCCCCACCCCTGCCCGTTTTTATCTGGATGAGCATCGTACCGGCGTGCGGTCGTGTATCACTACTGCGTGAGTACGTTAAAGACCCCAGGTTAGCAGTCGTACTGCACTGCCGAAAATGCTCATCTACAGTGTAAACCAGTGTCGCCCCTACTGGCAGACCGACCTTACGTTGTATAAATCAATAAAACGTCCAATTTCATTTGATTTTGACGTAGAAAAGTACAAATATCTGGGAGTATGGTTAAGTAACGGAAGTCTTTATCTAAAAGACCATGAAGATATTGTAATAAAGAAATGGAAACAAGATTCAGCTATCGTGAAACACAGGGTACTATTTAACAGTAATATATATGAAGTCGTGGGAGTCATGGTGCCAGGACTGCCATTTGGGAATGCGGTAGTGTGTGTGAGGTCTAAAATAGAGGCAGGTTTATAGATACGTCAAAGAAGTGAGGGTAGGTTGGCATTAGGGGCACATGGGAATGCAACATATGAGGGAGTGCAGGGGGATGTGGGTTAGGAATTTTTCGAGAGTAGAGAAGCGATCAGTAAAGTAAAATTTGAACAAAGACTAGTTGAAGTTGGCGATACATGGTGGGCAGCGAAAGCGTACAAGTATCTATATATGAAGAGTCTTAACGTTAAATGGACAAACCGAACCCACAAGTTGAGATTTAAATGCATTCAACGAGATAGAGCTGATCAGAGCATGCCAGTAGAAAAGGGAGTAAAGATCACTGAGAAGAAATTGTGGGAGGCGAGAATGCAGGGTAAATCAGCTTTAACAATATACTGAGCAGAAAAACAAGAACAAAAAAATAACAGCTGTATGATAATTCACTGGGGAGCTTTTCGCTGTTTGAATCTAGAACGGGGGTGCTAAGAACGAAAACGTATAGGGCTAAATTCCAGGGAGCAGACACTCTGTGCGACGTATGCAACCGCGAAAGGGAAACTATAGAACATGTAATTTAAAGGTTCACGGAGCTTCGCCTCACCCTCTTGGGAGGATGACGGGATGACTACGGACATGGAGGGGGGCACTGGGGTTTTCCGGACATGGATGGACGAATGAATAGGGAAAGAATTGCGGTAATTAAGAGGAGATTGGAAGATTGGTGGAAGAGATCTAGGGAAGGGTAAAAGAAATACAGATAAAATAAGCAATCGAATCACTTGGATGGTTCTGTTATAACAATGTGTATACAAATTAAGAAAAAAAGATTAAAAGATGGGATGACGAAATGTTAGGCTAGTGGCGCAAGCTGCCGCCCGTTAAGAAGGGTATAGCTATTACCATCCATCCATTCATCCATCCAAACATGGCTACCACGTGGTACGAGCGGTCACGTAATCCTCTACGCGACGATGGGCGGGATCGGGGTGGGCCACCATTAGTGCGGGCGGGTGCACGGCTCAGGTGTCGTCCGCACCGTAGTCTTCAGCGCGATTTGGTGTGTACAGTATCCGACAATTACAGCACAACTGCGGCATCACTCTGCGCACGCACTGTGAACGAAGCTCCGAGAAAGAATAATTACAACCGGCGAGACGACGACGGCGGTTGTTTCGCGCGAGACAGCGGTAAAGGGCAGTCCAAACCACCCCGCCAAACGTTCGCGCTTGAGCTCTGGGAGCCGGAAGTGACGTGTGCGCAAAGATTTCGCGTACGCTATTTTGAGACTTGCCAGTGCCTGGGGTCCGCAATATACGATGTTGAGAAAAGGCCTTCTGCGTAGAAACCAAACATGTCCAGCGTTGTCGATGGCACATAAAGATTATTTTAGTGGTTGGCGACGCAGAAATTACAGAACTCATCTGTTCAATTAGATTAAGATATGTTGAAACAGGTTCATAATGATAGGCAAAGCGTTAAACTTCAGCCAAACTTGCCCTTTGATTTTGTTTGGCCAATTTGCCAGAAGACACATGTCCATATGATAGAGAGTATTTCAAAAGTCCATAATTGTAATATGCTGCTAATGAGTACTTTAGCAGGGACAATAAATAGTAATATCATACTAGGCCTAAATCGGACTGTCAAAAGACCCCTCAAGTACTTAATTAAGGGAGCGTAAGAACGGCATTCGTGCTCTCGCACTCACAACTCATAAAAAGTGCTTAGGTGTCGTTTGAACGTTTCTTGAGTCAAACCGAAACCGAAGCGAAACGACATTGTAACCTTTATCTTGGAATTGAACCGTAACAAATTTTCACGGTAACCGGTTAAAAACGACGCAGCCTAATTAATTTCGTATTGTTCTTAATTGCACGGACTGAATATGTGTGCTTGCTTGATTCCACTGGCGATAGCCGAGCCTCAAACACAACGAGCGCCTTGACGATGTACCTTTGTCGCTGCTTCTTTGTTAACATCGGACAGTGTCGTCTGCTTTGGTCGGATTTAAAGCGAAACGGAGTATGAATATAAATAACGAAAATAGGGTGACAACTTATAAGCGACTTTTTCGTCGCCGACCAAAAAGCCCAGTGGGGCTTCAAATTGTGAAAGTGGTTACCTGAATCCTTCCAGCCTTGCCAAAGACTCGGTGTAACAGGACCAGTCCATGGCGTCAGGCGTGCCCTTCAGCCACTTCTCCACTTCCAACCTGTTACCGAGGACTAAATCGCTCAGTACGACCTCTGGTACGCTCTTCGTGACTGGGAAGACGTTGTAGGTGGTGGGTCCGCAGCCAACGTCCAGGAGGCTTCGCCTCCTCTTCGGCACTGAAACGAAGTACACAGTTCACAGAACGGAAGTGTCATTTGACTATTTTTTGTCTCTAAAACGTATGTCTTGTATGGAGGCGTCATTCAAATGTAGACCACCTCCGACGCAGCAGCGATAGAAAAAGAATCGCTTTCAACAAATATAGGATCTCTAAGATGCCAGTCAAATTTCGTAACACGGGACCTGCACCGTAAAGGCCTAGCCGTCGGTGCATTTTCTCGGTTGAGCCTTTTTTAGCGGGAGGCAATTACGGCGCTAGGCTACATATCCGGCCGGTAAAAAAAAGAAAACCTTACCTAACGCGTCTTGTTGCTAAAATCTGGAGTCATTTACTTGAGTCAATTTCCTAGTACAGCCGCAAAATTCTCCCAAATCAAAAATGCCAGAAAGCATTTTAAGTGCAGACCGCATGGCGCATTTTTGGTCGCGATTCACGCGCGTCGGCGTCAAACTGACGACATTTCCTGGGCGCGGGCGCGCGTTTTTGCGGGAGCGTTGGTTTCCAGCCGACCCAGAACAAGACGCGCGCGCCGAAGCGTCGAAGCTGCTCGCGCCCAATGAGGGTCGGCCGAACTATCACGTGATCCTGCACTGTAGGCTGTTTCGTATTCAGCACATTTCAAAGTGTCCAAAAGCATTTTTATTTTTCATATAGAAATTGAAGTGGTGTTTCTTCGGCCGAACTTTCACGTGCCCCTGCACTGTACGCTGTTTCGTATTCAGCACATTTCAAAGTGTTCAAACGTCTGCACCAACGACTGTCCGCTATTCCTTGCTCACGGACTCTGAGCACGTATTGGACACGAGGATGAAGTCAGCGTTCAGCGTCAACTCGGCTCAGGTTGTGTTGATAACGAGCGATGACGTCACCGTTCGGCGAGGACTTTGGGGCAAACCACGTTCTTCGTGAACAAGTAAAGGCACGACCACATTGGCGTCGCGGAGGCCTGCGGCGCGGCGGTCGGCGCTGCCGTTTGCCGACCCAAACCAGTTTTCGGTTTCAACGGCGCGACGTACGGCGCCGCAGAGTCAACCGCTCCGTGCGCGGTTCAGAGCCGGGCGCCGCACGCCGCAGAAGAGAGGAGCCAATGGGAAGTGGCGTAGATAGTGACGTCGCGATGCCATGGCAACGCTCAAGCCGGTCCTCGGCGCGTCCTTCACGTTCCGAAGGACCTTTTTCGCGTTTTCTGCTCTTCCTATTTTCCCCCGATGCCTTCCCCAACGGAGAGGTTCCTTGAAACTGTGCGACTGTTTCCCTTTTTATATGACAAGACGCAGCCAGACTACCTAGATAAGGACGCTAAGAACAACCGCTGGGAAATTAAAGGAGAGGAATTCGGAATTACAAGTGAGTTTCTCCGTAGCACTTGTTGCACGCGTCGTCTGTGTTGTGACGGATGTCATGTTGATTTGGTGACGCTTTCGAAAGTAGCCTTCATCTCTGGCGCGCCGCCGGGGCAGCAAAACCTCGGCGGCGCGCCAGACCTGTCCTGCCCTGCGGTGTTTCGGTAGATCCAAGTCGGTCGGACCCAAAACTTGCGCCTTCTTCCCTTCAGAGCGCGGCGATGTCGCAAGATCAACGAGCAGGCTAGGATAATCACATTCACGCTGATCACCAGGTCATTATGGACTCCTACCATGTAGGCAGCGAGTGCGGAACGGAAGAATGTAACGAAGAGCAGACGACGAAAGAGCGGGAAATCCGACGTGAGGCGCGGTTGCTGGAACCAGTGCTGTCACGTGACCCCTGCAAAACGGAGGCCAATGTGGACTCCTCGCGTTGGGAGGCCGGACGGCGGTGCCGCCCGGCGGCGCCGCCCGGTGGCGCCGTTCACGCTGGTGTGGTCGGGCCTTTATAGTGACCGAACAATGTTGCTCGACGCACTTTTGAAAACGGTCTGTTGGAGCAGCCAGAGTATCGCCTTCCTTTTGCCGTCAACTCCTCACTAACGTGGAAGGGTCATATGCGCCACTTTCGCGCTTGCGGAAGGGTCGCCAGGTGCTCGCAGATTAACAGGGCACATTTTTGTGAGATATAGTCCACAAATAGGAAAATGTCGGGCTATAAAAATAGCGCAAATAGCCCAATACATAACAATAGATACAAGTTATTTAAAACGTCTCTTTACAACGCTGGTGCATAATATGGCATAAGACAGCTACTTACGAAACAATTCTAAAATGAAGTAAGAGACGGTTATTGCGGTTAGTGTCGGATTCAGAGGAGTCCGGATGTCCTAACGCCCCTTCGTACCTCCCCCCCCCCCCCCCCCTTCTTCCTGAGGAAAAACACTGGGACGGGGGGGGGGGGGGGGGCGGGATTGCGGTATAATTTAAATTGCATCAAAAAAAGTTTACAAAGAGGTTATCGTAGCTCTGCGACCAACAAACAGAGCCTCCTATATGGTGACAATGTCTGGCAGATCATTACCACGAGCGGCCGAAGAAATGAAAAAGGTGGAGCGGCAAGCAAAGGATCACAGGACGGCCACGTGACTGGCGCCCCGCTGTGGCGAAATGCCAAAACACACTTCTCCCGAAAGAACAAGTGTTTTTCGGGTCCTCACCGCTGCAAAAACTGCGCGCTGACGTCCAGGTTCCCCGAGAAATGGCTCTTTGATTCTCTCTGTTACCGGATAGTCGCGCTCTAAATCTGCGACCGTGGACCCTATGGCTCCGTGGTCAAACTGCCAGGCTTTGTGAGTATGGAGGAGTCTATGGCAACACCGATGAAGACCTACGTATTTTATTTTCTCGCTTCTGATTTTGATATTTTTCTTTCCTAAATTCTTAAGTTGACCGTTGTTTCCTACTGGGTTGAGAAATGTCATATTTGTGGCTTTGAAACAGCTTTTAAAAAGACCTTTGCAGAAATCCTAAAAAGCCAGCGCGCTAGCGCGACGAGTTATGGGAGTCCTCGGTACGCCCCTCCCATCGTGTTTCCTGCGCTACCAGGTTGCATACGAAAGCAGGCGCAGGTAACCAAGGCAAGAACGTTCGAGCAGCCGAGTTGACGAGCGCATGGAAAGTGTGTGTGTGTGTGGGGGGGGGGGGGGGGGTGAGGGTATAGCGTTGGGTAGATTGCGACGATGCCCCTTTCTCACCCATTGTCTTCTTTACCGGCTATGTTGTCCGCTACACCCCTGCTTTTGTGGAAACAAGTCGAACCCTGCCACTGTTGCGGCGCAAAATAAGTGGATTCGGTGACACTGCAAGACGTTAAAGTAAGTTGAGACGCATTACGTAGTCGAATAAGTAAATGGTACAACGCGGACAAAAGTCGACCCGGGTACAGCAGGCAGCATACGTACCGGTCGCCACCAAGCGACGTATGACGTTCCTGCGGATGGCCGGGATGGCGGATGGACGCGACGGTTGCTGCTGGCGATATCTGCCGCGACTCACACGCAGTCGCGACGACACAACGAGAAAGCGCGTGATCTGTACCGAATGTTCCCATGATTCTCGTTTGTGGCGCTGTACCTATGGCGAGTGGTCTATTGGTTGAATCTCGGTTACGAAATGAACCGATAATAGTCAAAGAGCCAACTACTAGATTTTCCCGCCAACCACTAAAACAAGTAGCCCAGTTGGGCTATTTGTAACCCAACCCGGAATACTTGGGAACCGGACATGCAGAGACCTGGGTCTTGATTGGTACACATTTTTCGATATTATGGTCACTGCGCATGTGAAATCGTGGAAGTTCACCATGATGATATTGCCGCGAGCGCAACTGACCAAACAGGCAGAGCGCCCGTGGCCTAACGGTTATCGCGCTTGCCTTCCACGCAGAAGGCCAGTGTTCGAGTCCTGGCCGCGGCTACACATTTTGATTGACACTGTAATGTGATGTTCTGGTTAATTCGAGAACCGTCTTGGCCGATTCGAGGTTAGAATGTTCTACGCGCCGAACCTTGTACGCCAAATGCTCCAGATGCCCACGCGTGTACAAAAGCGGCTCCGCGTGGCAGGCCGGAGTCAGTCTCGCCCCTGCGCTCAATCCTGCGGTTTCGCCGACATCGACGCCCACGACGCTCTACTGTTTTCTTCTGTTTCCTTTTGTTTTGGGCACAAGTTCGCCCCATTAAACGTTTAGTTTCTTCAGTTTTCCTTGCCTCATCAATTGTGATTCGTGACATTTTGGCGGAGGTGCGGGGTACTGCATGCCCGTGCAGCGTTCCCCCCCAAGGGCCCGCAGTGCAAGTCCGATTCCGTGCTCGGTGAGAAGACCACTCAACGCGGAACCTGAAACTCGGACCAGCCGCCGCACCAAGGGAGAGGATCCTGAGTACGGTTTGCTGCTGGACAAGCCCAACCTAAGAAGACGACGATGGCCAACCAGTCACAAGCCCCCGCCTCTTCTCCCGTCATCTTCATGCCCGTCGCACCACGGACGGCTGCCCCCTTCCACGGTGAACTCTACGAAGACGTCGACGATTGGATTGACCAGTACGAAGGTGTCGCCCGCCACAATGGCTGGACCGACGAGCAGCGTCTGCAAAACACGTATTTTTCACTCGAAGGGACTGCCAGGTACTGGTACGAAAATCACGAGCCTTCTTTGACATCGTGCGATGTTTTCAAGAGCCAGCTGAAGGCAACATTTCTCAACCAACACCGCCGAGAGAGAGCCGAAAACCTACTTCAAACCCGAACCCAGGGCCCAAATGAGAGCGTCACCGGCTTCGTGGAGGATGTTCTGCGTCTGAGACCCCGCGCCGACCCTCAGGCTACGGAAGAAAAGAAGCTTCGAATCCTCATGAGACAACATTTTCGGCGGCCTTGTTTGTAGCCCTCCGACAACAGTCGAAGATTTGGTCACTGAGGCTACGAACACCGAGCGTGCCATGCAAGCCCGAGCCAGCCACTACCATCGAACACCCGGCCTCGCTGCCCTCGCGCCGTCTAGCTGCGATATTGCCTCCAGTATACCGTGCATCCTTGAGGTCATTCGAGACGTTGACCGGGGGGAGCTCCGGAAGCTGCTGCCTGC